GGGGGTGGCCTTGAACTGTCAGATGTACCTGTCTCTGCCTCCCTAGTGCTGGGATTAAAAGTGTGCATCACTACACCCAGGTTCTGTTTTCCACTTCCAGTTTAGCTTTTTTAATTAGCTTAATTAGAAGATGGGCGGCCAGATCCCAGTTGAGACACAGGTTGTGACTACCACATTGGATAACATGTGAACACTGTTTTGCCTTTAAGATCTTTTACTGCATTGATCTGCTGTCACTCATTCTCCTTATAGTGTCTTAGTGAGTTTCACAGTATACCTAAGGGGTGGTCTGGAAACTTGCTGCCAGGGAGAGCTTGAAGAGAGAGCACATCCACTCTTGTTAGGGAATAAAGTAGAATGTCTCTCTATGTGGTTCATTTTCCTGTGACTGCTTCCCTAGTGCGAATCTCCCTGTGCCCTGGCAAACATCTTCAGTGACCTACTCTCAACCCTTTGTAGTGAAGAACTATGATCATAATCTTATGATCATGATCTTGGTTTTTGTAATAAAAACTATGGATCATAATTGTAGATCATAACTTAGACCTGAACCTGAGGCGGAGGCTCAGTGTGCAGATAGATAGATGCTCCTTGGGAGAAGTAGATGGAGAGAGGATGTAGCTGGCCTGTCCTGGCCTGCCACCCTGCCAAGTCTGAAAAGCAGCCACAGATGTGACCAGACAGAAGGGCTGCTCCCCTCCCCCAGCAGCCTTTGTCCTGGTCCTGCCCCCCACCCCCACCCCATCCCCCAACACACAAAGCTCAGGCCTCCAAGCTCACTCCTTGGGCTGATAGATGCTTCCTCTGCTCCTCAGAGGGGCCTCAGGAGGCAGTGTACCTGGTTACCTTCCCCCAGTGAACCGACAATGGGTGAGTTGTCCCCACTTCACGCTTCAGCGACTGCTCTGTTCCACCAGGCCTGTGGAGGCAGCGACAGCTGGCACACAGCCTGCCATGGAGTGACAACGGCCTCAATCCGAGGTCTAGGCCTTGTCCTTTCCTCTTCACAGAAGAAGGCCAGTTCTGATTCTTTAGGTCACTGTGGGACCCAGTCCCTCTGGATGGGTTGCAGGAGGAGCACACTGGGACACTACTGGACTGGAATATTCAGGAAATGAACTTGAGTGGACCTAACAGCCTTTCACTGTGAATCTCTGTGTGGCCCTGCTTTTCAGTCTTAGAGGGTCCTCCCCACACCGTGAATGGAGATGTACTGTCCTCACTTGGCAATATGGGCAAAGGGTCAACATCTAAAGTAAAATGTAAGTTGGTCAGTGGAACAGGAGAGCTTGGCTGCCTCTGTCTTACCCTTCCCTGGCACAATTCATATTTAGCGTGATTCAAACCAAGTAAGAAACAAAGTGGCGTGACCCGCAAGACAAAGGAGGACACAGCCAGGCCCAGCCAAGAGCCTCCAGTAGGGCTGTTAGGCTACAATGGGTTAGACTGCCCTGCACAACTGGTTCCTAACGCTAGGGATAGGAACCCAGGCTCTGAAAACAATGAGCCTCTAAAAGGCCTTTCCAGCACCTGTCAGCCCTCACAGGCAGAGCTTCCCCAGAGGGAAGCCAGCTGTCTGTGGAGGGAATCTGGCTGGACACAGGTGTCTGGTCTGCCCTCAGCAGGACAGCCACCTAGATAGCCAGCTACTTAAGCATGAACAGCAGGCAGCCACTTAGCAGCTGCTGACCTCTCCCATTGTCCAGTTCCAATGGCTCAGCCATATCCCTTCTGCCCCAGTCCTAGGCTGCTCAGTCTCACCAGCAGGGCAGCCCTGAGAACATGTACACACTGCCAGTAGGAGATGATGGGGGTCCAGGGAAACAGACAAAGTAGATACACAGCCATTGGCATTCCTGATTGACTATGGCTGGCCACCCTATGCAGGCCATCTCTGCTATAAGTCCCCTATAGTCCTGGTCTGCCACATAGGCCTCCTTGACAATGTTCCCCTTTCCTTTGAAGAGACCGACTGGTCCTTGTCCTTGGTCCCTTTGCAGACTGTAGGCTGTAATCTTCCCTCCCTTGTGACTTCCTGATATAAACTGTAGCCCAGAGGCAGTGCCTCACCCACACACCTGCAGGGCAGGTTGCTGGTTTCTGCCCTTGCCCTCCAGTGTTCTTTCCTGTAAGCTGAGGCAATAAAATCATTTCCAACCTTCCCACTCTGCCTAATGCAATATGCTCACACTTCCTGGCCGTGCCCCCCCCCCCAATCCAAACTCACACCCTACCTATGGAAGGGAGGAGTCATGGAAACTGTTATCCACACAGCTATGGCTGGAGAGCCAAATAAGTACTCAGATGGCCTGGGTCCCGGAGTACAGCACAGCTGTTCAGACCCCCTGACTACTCGGTGCTAACTACTGCCAGGTTGTCCTGGGTACTCTGGTATCTGCTATATCCATGCTGCCTTTGCCCTGGCCTGTGTGCTATGTGCACCTGCTGGCGAAGTCTCTCAGGAGACAAGGCGCTAGGTCTTAGAATCCTTTGGGACATGGGTTCTTTGAAAACATAACACCTTTATCCCAAACCAAGAAAAATGTGAGTGTGGTTGTGCCTATGTGTACATGTAAGTACATACATGGATTGTCATACTACCATAAGTGAGTCAGGATTCCTGCCTCCTCTTGCCCTGGATCCCTGGCTGAGGATGTCTGCTGCATCCCAGAAAACATTCTGGCTGAACTTTTCTTTGACATTGAGCTGGTGTGTACCATCACTAGGTCCTGGGTCCGTTGTAGTGGCAGCTGGTCTAGAGTGACCCACTCCTCAGAACTGAAGCTAGGGGATTATACAGCAGCCCACATGTCTGATACTAAAGGTCAGGCAAGGGGATGGCTTCAATTCTGTCCCAGGGTATGTCCCGTGTGTCCCAGAGGAAGTCCCTTTGGGTTGGAAGGAGATTTGGGGAAACTAAAAAGGCTCCGGGCAAGCAGCCACTTCCTAGTTGTTGAGTGTTTACTTTTAAACAGTTTTGAGCACCAGCAAGGTGGCTCTGTGTGTAAAGGCACTTGCCATCTAGGCCTGAGGACCCAAGTTCAATCCTCAGAACTCACAGAAAAGTGAGTGGAGATAAATGACTCCACAAAGTTGACCTCTGACCTTCACATGTGCAGCATGGGATTGCACGTGACCCACACGCAGATATACATGTAATCCACACACGCGTGTGGACACACACACCACTAATAATAATAATAAAGATAAAAGCAATTTTGAAATGTTTTCTTCATTGTACTTTTCAGAGGTTAAACAACTCAGCCTCTCCACAGTCTGGACTCAAAGCTTTACCCTTCCCCAGCTGTATGACCCTATCAAATCCTTCCCATTTTTGAACTGGAGATCCTCACCAGTTAAAAAATTATGTTCCTAAGGGTTCATCCATAATAAACACCGCCGACATTAGGCTGCAGGCCCCAGGAAAATAGCAAGGTTCTAAGAAGAGGATGTAGAACTCAAAGAGGAGAAGGTCTCCTAAGAGTCAGGAGACAGGTGGAATTTAGCCCTGAAACAGGGACTCGGGTGGCTAGGGGCACAGAGCCGAGGGCTTCCCGGTAAGCAGGCTGTCTGCTCTGAGACTTGCTTGCACAGGGGCTGAACTTGTACTTCCACATCCTGTTCTTGTTCTGTCTCACAGTCCCGTTGGCTCTGACTCAGGGAGAACTGGACTTTAATCCTGTTCTCAACCTCACATCACCCACTACACTCTCCTCTCTCCTGGGTTTCAGAGGGACACTTCAACATTGGGCATGGAGTCCCCAAGTGTGAGCACTAGAGAGGGCTATGACTCAAGCTGATAAAAGGCCAAACAAACACCACAACGTGCTGAAACACACCCCAGCCTAATTTCCAGCAAGCAAGATTTTAATCGAAGATGAATTTCATCTTCTCTTTTCCACCTTCCTCTCTAGTCCCTCTCCCCACCTGCAGCCTCCTGGGGGAACAGGAAGCTATAGGCAGGTCTGTGTTTACCTGTTCCACTGTGCCTGGCTGCTCTCTTTGTTTCCCATGGTTTCTGGTCCTGAGAGATAACCTAGTACCTGCAGCTGAGCTGCAGCTAGGGCAGCAAGGATCTCTCCTGCCAGCTTAGTGTGTCACTTTGGCTGCCAGGGTTCGATTCCTGGATTGCAGCCCTCACCTGCTGTATGAATTCCTTTAATTCCCAGTGAGGTGGGATTTTTAAGCTCCCTTACAGGATTTTTTTTTTTTTTTTTTAAACTAGGCTCTGGCTGCCTTGGCACTGTAGGAGTTGGGAACACAGGCCAACCACAGTCCAAAGAGAGAAGTTAAGGAGGCTTGGAAGTACTGTTCCCCATGGAGGTACTGTTCCCCAGAGTTCTACCCCCACCCAGCCCACCTCCCCCACCCCCGACTTGATTTATGCTCCGCTAGGGATGGATTCTAGGTTTCATGAGTGCTACACAATCACTCTATCAACTAGGCAAGAACCCCAACCTCTGTAACGCATCTAGACTCGGATTCACATTTGAAAATGGGGATAAAGAAAGCAATATTGTGGCCACACAGTGAAGAGTGAGCAGCATATAGCGTTAAAGCCCTTTGCTCACAGCCAACTGTCACAAACAGCGACGGAGAAACAAGTGCCTGGGCAAGCTATCATCCCAGTGTTGGGTTTCCATCTGTGAAATCAGACAGTTGGGCTGGAAACTCTCTTCCAGCCTCTAAGACCTTGTCTCTAGGAGTCTGGCTGAGAGGAGGGACGAGGTGAGCACAGCTGTAGACGGCAGTTTTGTTCACTGGCCCTGCTAAGATTTAGCCCCTAAAGTGCCTTATCCTAGGAGATAGATACGGTGCCACTGTCAGCTCTAGCTGGAGGCCCGCAGTGCGCCAGGCTGGCAGGGGGAGGAGACTCGTGCACAGCGGCAGAAGGGCACAAGTGCTCAGGCTCTAGCGCGCTCTGCCTGATCGTCGCCTCAGAGTCGAGGGTAGAGTGGTCCGAGGACGTCCACTACCTCCGTATCCTGGGCATCACTCACCGTCCAGTCATCGCGTGGTCCAGAGGCCACCAGCAAGGCAGTCTCTCCGCCTGTATCAGAGTTGTGCCTGCACCAGGCTCCAGAGCCTGGCCTCTGCTGCAGGGGGTCAGGTCCGCCCCTGCCCGCCCTAAACACACCTCTTCCCGCCCCCGGACACGCCCTCTCTGCCCTGGGAACGCCCCTCTCTCTGGTCAACGGCGTTTGCTACAGTTGCCCCTCAAGAAGACCCCGGGCATTGTCTGCTTGTTTGCTTGCTTGATCTCCATGGACAACAACGAGCGCTCCGTGTGTCACTTAAATTCCTAATCCTGGAGGGCACCTCAGGAGGCAAAGAGAAAGCAGCCGGATTGGGCCCTAGGGACTAGCGGGTCTACAGGCAGTGGCCAGGGATCCTGGGTAACACAGACCCTTGGGTTTCAACAAAGGCCTCTGCGCAGGCGCTGCAGCTTCTGCTGTGTGCGTCCTGGGGAGGGTGGAGTGTGTGAGGTTGTGTGTGTGTGGGGGGGGGGGGGGTGGAGTGTGTGAGGGTGTGTGTGTGGGGGGGTGGAGTGTGTGAGGGTGTGTGTGTGTGTGTGTGTGTGTGTGTGTGTGTGTGTGTGTGTGTGTGTGTGTGTGTACGCGCGCGCCCAACATTTATTTATTGAACAGATAGCACCTGCAAGCAAAAGCTTCTCAGAAAGCTCCATTAAAAAATCCAGCTGGTGAATTTAAAAAGTTAGTTTCCTCTCTCTGGCGCTGCCTAATGAGCACCAATTTGCCAATGCTGAGGCAGAGCCTCAGGCTCTGTGGGAGCTTAAGGGGGCTGGGCAGCATGGATGCCGGCCTGTTTGGCTATGGAGCTTTGTTGGCTCTGTTTTATGTCACTATTCCCAGTCCTGACCCCAGGACCTTTTGGCTGCCCCTGCAATGTAAATCAGCCTAACTCAGTCCTTGATTTCTAATCCTCTTGGGGTCTCATGGCCATTTTAAGAGTATGGTGTGGGTCTTCTAAAAATGTATTTGAAAGCCAACCTGGAATTTGAATCCCAGGACCCAAAATCAGCGGATTTTGCTAGTTATTGTAGCTGGTGACTGTGAGCATAGAGATTGCACTTTGTCCTTCCCTTCCTGGGTGGCAGACTATCCATGTCTACTCCCCTGCCTGCAGGGGGCTAAAGGTGACCAGCTCAGAGTCCCTCTTCAACTCAGCCCGTGCTTGTATTCTTAGAGAATGATCCATTCTCTGCCAACTCGGGGTTCCTATGACTACTGGCCTGTTGAAATACATGTTTCTTTCCACAGTCCAAATGCTGGGCATCTTAAGAACTAAGACTAATATTTGGGTGCTTCTAAAAGCTTTCACAAACCAAGTGCATGAAATTCCACAAAACTCCTGACTGCTCCAATCCATTCCAGCCCCAGTGAGGCAGTAAACAGCACATGACAGGGTAAATCTCCCTGGGGCTCTTTAGCATGAATCACACTCTCTGCCCCAATTCACACTATTGCCTCACCTGGCACAGGCCTGAAGTGTCCTGAGCATTCCTTATAGGTTTGACACGCGCTGTTTGTTGGTCTGGTCTCCTGTAGCTCTTGACACTCAGCTGCACTGGCTACTGCTTACATTTCATCTGGAGTAGGAGGAGCTGCCCTGCTGCCCAGTGTTGGCTGCCTCTCACTTCTGGTGAGTGCCCTGGTTCCTGACAGTTGCCTACTGAACACCCACTGTCTTGTTTGGAAAAGGGAGGGAAGGAGAGAGGGAGAGCAGAGGGGAAGACAATAGAGGGAAGCCTGCTTATTAGGAACAGCAGCTTGCTGGCATCTAGTGATGGCTCATGACTGCCTGTCATTTTGTTGCTACACTCACAGCTCCCAACAGAATGGTATGACTGGAACTTCAACATGCAACTGGTAAAATGGCAGTGTACAGTACGCATTGTATGTTGTACTTTGTAGAACATTTGCTTTGTTATTTATGCTTCAGCGGTGTGATGTAAAATGGGTACCACAGTGGGGGAAGAATTGAAAACAGTAGTTTCAGTCAATCTTGACAACCCTTGTCATGGCTTTCCTGTGGCTGTTTGAGACATGGCCCTCACTCTCACTTCTGGATATAGAGAGGAGAAAGAATTCATGGAAGAAGGGACTAGAGGGGAGGGTGGAGAAAACTAGTTTTCTTAGTTGAAAGAAAATCTGACTGCCCTCCTTTCTTGTCTCATGTGGATATAACATGCAATGTGTGGAACCTGGCAGTCAGTTTGAGAGCATATACAGAAAAAGCAGCCTTAGTCTTAGAGTTTCTGTACTGTCTTCAGTAAGACTTCACAACAATGATGGTGCAATATGTGTGGCACACAGGCCACTGTGACAATTACTTCCCATCGATCTTGCTTCCTTTGTTCCCTCCTACCCTCCCTCCCTCTGGTCTGGTCACACTGAATGTTCCTCTCAGCCTTTGTACTTGGTGGTCCTTTATCCCTAAGTTTCTTCTGCAGATACTGCCAGGCTGACTCCTCACCTCCTTTGAGTTTTGACTCACAAATCATTGTCTCTTCCAGATCTTTCCTGCCCCTAATACATCCCTCCCAACCCACTCACCCCCTCTCTATGTTCCATGCCTTTATCTTGGGCTACCTACCCAAGAGACGCTCTTCCCTCAGCTGCTGACCTGGGCTGTCACTGTGATGCATTGCACCCAATGTGCTGCTGCCTTACTCTTCCATAGCCAGATTCAGGAAAGGCACAGACTCTCAGAGGCCCTAGCCCCATTCCAGGTGAGGCAGGTGGGATTGGGGTTCAACTTCTGGTGGTCCTATATTGAGGGGTGTATTTGTGCCTCCAGGAGTGAGACGCGAAAGACCTCTTCAGGCCCCAGGGATGAGGCCTCACAGAAATCTGCAGCACCACAGCCAATGGGGGCTTTGAGGAACTCCTGTAAGCCATGTTCACAGTGGGATGCCCCTGCTCACAGCATGCCACCATCAGGATAGCCATAGGAAATGTCATGATTTTCCTGACAGTCCAGGCCGATTTGAAGGGCCCATTCTTTTCACACAGGAGCCAGGAATAAAGAATTTAAGCCACCAGGGAATTCATGAAACCCACAGGACAGTCTGAGGCAAGGCTGGCACCCATGGCCTACCGTGCTCTAGGCTGGCTGGAGGCATCTAAAGCAACTAGGGAATCATCTTTGTCCTCTGCATGGGAGTATGTGTGCTGAGATATAATTTAGACCTGCACATAGATTCTGAAGCATAGGCTAATAGAATTTCATATATATGATGTTAAGATAAAAAACACTTTACTTTTTCTTTTGAGCACTTTATTCTACATTTATTTAGTGTGTGTGTGTGTGTCCACTTGTGCAAGAGCATGTCCACGTCTCTCTCACACACACACAAACACACACACACACACACACACACACACACACACACACATACACTTGTATACATGCAAGGCCTACCACACACCTATGGAGAGGACAACAGATGGCAGTTTGTTCTCTCCATCACGTGGGTCCCAGAACTCAGGTCATGGGGCTTAGAGGCAAGCCCCTCCCCAGCTGAGCCATCTTGCCTACCCATCCTCTTCTTTTGAGACAAGGTCTCATATGGCTCAAGCTGGCCTGGAACTCATTTTGTCTATGTAGCTGAGTATGGTCCTCTTGCCTCCATCTCTCAAGTGCTGGGATGATAGGTGTGCACCACAGTGCTTGGCTCTGAGAACCGTTTTCAAGGCCATTCCCTTAGAAGACTAAGTTGGATTTTTGAATTAAAATTAGTGATTGATTTCCTCAGGCCCTGGGCAGATAGATGACTTTGTGTGATCCTTTCCTCTCATCATCTTCAACATGAGATTCAGAACAAACGCCTTTCCTGAACAATTGCTCCAGAACTTAGTGTGATCCCAAAGGGACTTGTGTGGCTGGTGACAGTGCCTGATCTGCTGTGGCTGGTGCCGTTTGCTTGGGTGCCGTCCCTCTGTGTGCTCTGCGTGTGCGGAGGCTTTGTGAGGCTTGCTCTTAGATTTCAGGTAATCACTGCAAAGTTCAGCACACCACCTATCTGCCTTCTCTGTGTCAGATGGTTCTCACTACCTCCATTTGTTGATGTGCAAATGACAGCTCTGGGCTAATTTGGGATACTCTCACCCCAGGGTGAGCCAGGGTGGAAATGATCATTCTTCCCTAAGTGAACATAAATTTCAACGGTATATGCTGCGCCACCGCCTTCTCATTAAACACGCACATGCTCGCACACTTGATGGTCCTTTTTCTTTCAGCGAATGCTTTGGGAATGCCTTTGTCCTGAGCCACACATGTCCTAAGTGATAACACACGGTTTCCCAGGAGCCTTTACCAGATCACATGGCCAGAAAGTGCTGCTGAGACTTGCTTTAGAGTAGAGAGAACTGCATGCCTTGAGCCCTTTCTCCATTTAGTCCTGGGGAAGGGGGCAGGTGTGGAACCCATAGCTGCTCCCAAAGCATGGGGGGGGGGGGCTGGCCCATAGTCGCCTTCAGAGAGCACCTTGTCTTCCCAATACTGGAAAGGCAGCACACAGAGGGAGAGGGTGGCTCCATCCAAGAGTACAGATTAGAAGGGATGTCTTAGCTTTCTTTCTGAGGCTTTCCTTGCCTTCAAAGCCTTTGTCTAACATCATCTGAGCCCTCCTCCCCTCCGGCCCACCTCCTCACACTTGTGCTACTTCTTAGGCATCCACACTTCAACCCCCTGGAGGGCTCAGGCAGTGGCCTACTGAGTACTGTTACCGACATTGCTGTTGCTGTGAACTCCTGTAATAGTATGGCTGTGCATGGCTCCCCAGGGAACTGCGTTTCAGCAGAACTATCATTTGGGTGACTGCGAATGCGACTTCATGTTGTTCCGTAATGTTATTCCTTCTACAGCCACTGGGCTCAGGGAGCCACAGGAAACAGTTCAAGGACAGGAAGGCTTGCAGGAGGACACTGCTCTTCACAGAAATCCTCAGAGAGGATGGTCCAGTGCCTCACAAAGAGTCTGGGGTTTCCTGGGAGTCCTATTTCCTGAGAATAGCGAGCTGCTGCCAGAGAGACATAGGAACCAGGGTCTTTCCTCAAGCCAGGATGTGAAGCCGCCAAAGGACTCAGAGACCTCCCAGAGTGAGAGAC